GCCCGGTACAAGGATAGCTTTACTTTTACTTTACTTATACAGGGTGTTTCACGACTTTAGGCTATAACTGCAAGAGATGATTTTCTAGGTCTTTGTGATCAAAAAAGTTCATATAAACATGTGTCCTATTTTGGACGGTTACGGAGTTATGACCGTTTTAAACTCAGAATAGAAGGTAACGATTACTGACAATAAACGGAACAAAATAATAAACCAGCATAATACATGATACATTTAAAGTATGAATGTAAAGTTAACTTCGTGAAATTAACCTTTAATTTGAATTTATTGATGCTTAAAGCTGATTTTCGAAAATGCCACCGCCGCCCGTAACACAGGCTGCCTCTCGGTTGTGAACCGCGCCGGACATACCGACCCACCCCGCCTTAGGTACCTCTCAAGTGTCGAGATAACGAGAGCGCTCTGTCTGTAGCTGGCTAAAAATAGCGACGCGCCAGCTGACAGACGAGGTTCACACGAGGCCGTGTACGGGAATGAAAAAATGGTCATAACTCCGTAAACGTCCAAAATCGGACACATGTTTATATGAACTTTTTTGATCACAAAGACCTAGGAAATCACCTCCTGCAGTTATGCCCTAAAGTCGTGAAACACCCTGTATATATAGGCGACACTGAAGTATAGCTTCACATGTTGCAGAAAACGGCACTAGAGTGAAGTGATCACGTTGAAGTGCCCTACCAGCCCTATCCACGTTGGACAAGTCTGCGATACCTGTGTCTGCTTCATAAGAGGCTGAGTGGTCTAGGCCACTCGATATGATGAGCAAAAATTCACTTCCCCACTCAGAAATCACTTCTGACCGACCGAAACTCAAATACACCCTTCTTCGATCCGGCCGGAGGGAGAGACCCAGTTCGATACCAACACCTATATAATCACTGTATATCAGCCCTTAATAAACAGGCGGTACGGTTGTTTTACATGAGGGCAAAGCTGGCTGAACCAGTAAGCTGATATCTCGAGTCCGTCATGTGTGTGGAACATATTATTCACACCTGTTGTTGAATCACATTGACACTATTATTGATAAGTGTACCACGTGCTTCGTGTTATCTGACGATTATACAGCTCGGCACAGTCCAAAAGCTCAATGTTTCGTAGTCTGCAAGTAGCGTGCCCTCTGTCAGTGTCAGTCTCGTGGACGGCGAATTGCAGATCTGTGCTCCGCAGGCATGAGTCCGGCGTGCAATGATTCGCCTCACTGTGGTAAACACAAGGTGAGGAGGAAAGCGCACTTACCCGATAGCACACAATGAGCTTCGTTTGGGGTAAGTGCTGTTTCCTGTCGCACCTGACTTAGAAATATCTGCTCAGTCTATCTAGATTTGTTTGGTACACATACGAAAGCCTAGGTCATGTGCCCTTGGCTGTTTCTACGAAACGGTTCCACTATGAATAGTTAATAAGAAAGGTAAACTATCCCTGTAACAGGCCGTGGAAGCCCATGGGGTTGTGAGACGTCGAAGCTCCCAAATTTTCTAGACAGATGGCGAGGAGGTTTCCCTTCCCCCAGGAAGATCCTGGTACTCATTTCTGTTAGAGGCTGAGTCGACCCCAGGGCCATAGTGCGGCTGGAACTGAGCCGAAATTTTATAGGCGTTCTTTGCACCAGGAGCATGAAAAGAATAATGGGGAGAAGTCTTTCTGTTTTACTTATGAAACTACTGAACGAATTTCAGTTACATTTGGTGTTGATGATTCACATAAAAAAATATTCGAAGAATGTGATTTTAGTTCATATCTGCCCACTGTAAAGCTGGGTGAAGATTAGATGTGGCAGCGCATGCGCAAGACACGAATGCGTATCTTTAAAATATGGATATTACAAGGATCTGGGACTGAATAGTGGTTAGACTTGTTCCTTGTAGTTAACTAATTAAGCACTACGCCATGAAGGCGCATGGCAGAGCGGGTGTATAGATCCACATATTCTTGACGTTGGTCCTGGCCACTTTACCTCCGGAGAAAGAGCACCAGTTACCCATTGGTTAGGCGGATGGGTAGGCCCCAATACCGGTCTCGACGGCTTGGAGAGGAGAACAATCTTGCCTCTACCGGGACTCGAACTCCGACCCCTCAGCTTTCCAGCCCATAAGCAGTCGCTGTGTCGACTGCTTATGGTATCCTGGTTCNTCCAGTGATGGAACATCCACCGTATTCTCCGGACCTAGCACCGTGCGACTTTTTTCTCTTCCCAAAAATCAAGTCTGCGCTGAAAGGGACCAGGTTCGAGTCCGTGGATGCAGTGAAAGCAAAAGCGACGCAACTCTTGAAGAGCATAACACAAGATGACCTGCAGCACTGCTTCCAACAGTGGAAAATTCGCATGGAGCGGTGTAGGGATCGGGGAGGGGACTACATTGAAGGGGATAACATTTCGACTGTCTGATTTTTTTTTAATAAGGGGTTAGAGCATGAATCCGGTTTCTTTATTGCCACACCTTGTAAACATGGCGAATTGATGAATACCAGTGTTACGTGTTGTGATTTTTGTAACAGTGGTAATAACAAACAGAGTTGCATAAATCGCATTTGGAACATCCGTGTATTCTAATGCAATGTTTCTCAACCGCCGGGCCGCAGCCCGGTACCGGGGCTTGTCATCAACTATACAGGGCCGACGTCCAATAAAAACGAGTTTACCGGGCCGCCGTCTCACAAAGGTTGAGAACGATTGCTCTAATGGAGTGTGCATTTCCATTTGTCTCGCATGCTTAATTATTGCGCCGATTGTTAATGCCGCGTATTCTTCCAGTTTCATCGAGATATTTTTTTGAGACAGCTCTCAGATATGCAAGTAAATCCTAAATATGCGTGTAACGAAAGTTATTCTGCTGAGAAATGTCGTTTGCTGGCTGTCTGATTGTAAATCACAGCAAACAGACCGTTCCGTGTTGTGACGTGTTCTCCCGATTGAAGTGTTGTTTTGTGTAGATGCTGTACGTGCATTTGTGCCACAACATGCAGAGTGTGTGACCTGTTTTATGTCGGGCGTTCTTTACATGAGACGATAAAGTGGAAGTGTAGTCGTCCCATCCATCCTTAACCTGATGTCAGCAGCGCTCTTCTTGGTCGGATTTTTTAGTGCTGTCAGTCAGATGATAATGTTGGACCAGTGGCATCATTTTTCTGAAGCCTTAAATACTAGATTGAGCGTCATAGTTTGTAGCCTTTACCTAATACATTTAGGGTGATTAAATCAAGGAGGATGGGAAAGGCGAGGTCGTGGGGCACCAATGGGAAGTCAGAATACCTCAAAGGAAGAGATGCCTTCGGTCTACGTGAATATGGTGCTCCAGGCGGAATCTGTCCAAGGGTTATGAACTGAGTTCGCCTGACTCAGGATAGACACCAATGGTGGACTCTTGTGGACACGGTAATGAACCTTCGGACTCCATAAGCTGCAGGGAATTGCATGCTGTTTGTTTCTCAAGAAGAACCCGCTTCCGTCGAGGTCACCACACACTCTGTTGCTTCACTTCCGGTGCTTTTGGACGAGCGGCGTAGAAATAAGATGGCGGCTGGGATCCCCGTTGGTCGAGAGTGTGTTACGACGAGAATCGAAAGGAAGGAAGTAATTTGGGAGGCCATACTATAGCTCAGAGGATTAGTCGCCGTCTTCCCACCACGGCGGCCCGGGTTCGAGCCCACTTCAAGTCGTACATGATCTGTGGCGGACGAATTGGCACTGGAGCAGGTTCTCTCCTAGTACTTCAGTTTACTTTGCCAATTCTCGTTCCACCGACTGCTCCACACTCATCATCATCATCATCATCTATCATTCGGGGCTGGTACAACAGGGCAAATAGTTGCCAACGTACCTAGTGGAATAAGTATCACCCTGCCCCAAGAAAAAAAGTAAAGTGGAAAATATTGTACTGTAGGAGGGACACTGTGGGACCGTGGGGGGCGACGCCTGTCCCTTAGGGAGCTGATGAAATTATTGTTGGCTCTGGGATGGGTTTTGTTGGATGTTTGGGGTTATAGCGTCACATGTTTCCTATTTACTTTTTCTATTGTCCCTAGCTGGACATTAGCCCCCAGTCTTCCTTCATGGATCTTTTGGCCCGAAACCTATATATACATGAAGACCTATTCATTCTACACACTTGTGCCCTGAAGATGGGAGCAGCATGTACTTCCAAAACCTTTCCATCTTCCACATTGTGTAAATACCCAACCCACTATCAGCATCAACTATGAACCTCTATAAAGGCATACATTCAGCAATGAATCTAACCAGTTAGTTTGTTCCTTATGGTTGGTGTATCAGCAATGTCAGTAGCTCAGGCTGTGTACTGTTGAGTATTTGGATGATTATTGAATGAAGAATTGGAAAGGGCGTGGAAGGAAGTGTTCAAAGCGTATTTTAAGATACTGTCCCAGTATTCCTGGAGGGACTGAATAAAACTACGAAATACCTCAGTCAGGAGTCGATATCATGGTAAAGATTTGAACTGTGCCCTCCTGAATAAAAGTTAGAGGCATTACAGCTAAAGCCACCTTCTGGCCCAGTTAGTTGGCTTCCTGTGCTAGATACCAACACAGTTGTATTAAATATGTAATTTAATGTGAATATTTGTCCATCTTATGGTAAATATGATGAGCAAGCGATGAAAATGCACTAAGAAAGATATAATTTGATTTCAGTTCTCACAGCATCTGATCAAATTTGTGGAAAAGTATAAAAATGCGGTTTCTCATGAATGGTCCACATCATTCTGAGTCGAGAGATTCTGATCATTGATTTGCAATTGCCATGTAAACATCATGCTCATGACAACAGTATCACAATAAAGCCAGAGAAATGAAAAGATATAGAAATTGTTCATATGTCAAAGAGAAGAATTACCTTCATAAGTCAATTATGGCTTTTATATTTTATATTGTGATGTAAGTGCATAAATTGTTTTATTATAACAGAACTATCTATCTGTGCTGTGTTCTGTCACCTGAACCATCGACTCTTGTTGCAGGCCTCGACGGCGTAGCGGGAGCAGCATTATTGTTGTGGACACACAAGATCCTGAGCCCATCAAACATCGAACCCCAGAAGAACAAGAGGCGGAGGATGCCTACAACACGATGATGATGACACTGGACAGTGGGCCTCACCGTGAGATGGCTGTCGATGTTCCAGACTCCTTCATTGCCAGGAGCAAGACACCGCCCCGGTACCCTCCACCGAGGCCTCAGTGCAGGTTGCAGGTACGTAATATTTCCAGACTAGTAGTTGTACACGTATATATACCTGTTCAAGTGGTAAGGCACAATAAGTGAGGTACGAGGGTAAGTCAATAAGTAAGTTACAAATGGATATAGAACTTAAAAAAATGAGTGTACTGATTTGAAAAATGCTTTTATTTCTCAGCATAATCTCCCTGTACATTGAGGCAGTTGTCCCATCGTTTCACAAGCCCCTGAAAACCAGCAGCATAGAATTCTTTGGGCTGCAGTTGGAACCAGGCGGTGACTTCCCTTTCTACAGCCTCATCATCGGGAAAATGTTCAGCTGAAGGATAATGTTTAAGAGGGCTGAACAAATGGAAGGCATTTAGAGCAAGATTCATCACCTATGACAATTTTGGATAGCATATTCGTGTCCATTGTGGTAGCGATTGAGATGCTGTATTGCCAGACCCATTCTTTGCATTTTGTGTTCTGGTGTCAGCATGCGCGGCACCCATCATGCACAGACTTTGTGAAAACCTAACCTGTCATGTGACTTCCATTTGTTTGGCCCTCTTAAACATCATCTTTCGGCTGAACATTTTCCCGACGATGAAACTGTAGAAAGGGAAGTCACATCCTGGTTCTGACAGCAGCCCAAAGAATTTTATGCTGCTGGTTTTCAGGGGCTTGTGAAACGATGGGACAGGTGCCTCAATGTACAGGGAGATTATGCTGAGAAATAAAAGCATTTTTCAAATCAGTACTTTTATTTGTTTAAGTTCTATGTCCATTTGTAACTTACTTATTGACTTACCTACGTAGGTAAATTTGTACTTGTGCTTAATTACTTAATCACTATGCATGGGAGAGTGGAGGTATAACTTCAACATTCTTAACCTTTGCACTAGATGCAGGTGAGTGATCAGCTTCATGCTTTGGCTGCTTTACCCCTGGTGATATGAAGCTGGATTGGGGTAGATCTGACCTGGATGCTATGGAGAAGGGAACTGTGTATTATGTTCAGAACATGAAAATCAAGAGAAATTGTATAAGGCAAAATACCATCAAGATGAAAACTTCTCTTACTTCATTGTGTTCCTGTCAAACTAAACATTGTTTGTACATGTAAATATTATGACCTACATGCAGACTTGTGTGGTTTGCAGCCTGGTGTTAATGGATTAGCTGCAAAACCAGTACCTCCACCTAGAGATCATCTACGTATTGAGAAGGATGGACGTCTGGTGAACCGTGCACCAGCACCTCAGGTACCTGCCAGAACTGCCACTGCTGCTGCCACACCCTTCTGTCACAACAACAACACTGATCCCACAAAGGAGCAACTCGACAGCATTCGCAAGTTCCAGGTGAGTAACGCTGTGAACTTACAGATGGGTACTAGGATGAACAGCACAAAATCCTGGTCCTCTGCCTGTTCAGTTAAGTCCACATGTGCATAATGTACAAGTGTTTCCTAAGACTAAATCTAATGCCTATATTATCTTCATCTTCTGGTTTGGTCGTCTGATATATTTAATAAGAAATATGTATTCAGGGTCCCATGACCAAACTTATGGAGGTTGTTGGGGAGAGAGTTTTGGGTAGAAAATGTAAATACATTTTTTTTATTCATCAGTCATGTCAAGTTATGGAGTTTTGCCACTTCTTAAGAAAGTGAAATACTTGTCCATTAATGATTATATTTAGTTATATATGAGAAGTATCTTTATTTATTACTTTTAATTACAATGAATGAAAAGCCAAAAATTCAAAGTTACTTAGTTGTATTTTACATTATATGTAACACAAATGTCTGATCATGAGTGGGGACTTGCACACAATTACATTTATTTCTTCACAAGAACTGCTTGAAAGTTGCTGCCTCCTACTTGCAGGCGCATTTCACAGTGGTGTCATGTGAAGTCCCTAACATAAACCAACTGTCTAGGTTGGTTCCTAATGTCTGTTGCAGCTACCAGGATATGTCTAATTGGGTTGTTGTGATGTGTCTTTGATGCATTCTCATAAGAAAAAATAAACTGTGTTCATATCAAGAGAATATTAAGGCCAGATAACTGCAGCGCTCATCCAATCCACATATCTATAAAATGGTTGATCATTAAATTATCCACTTGTTGTGAAAAGTGGGGAGGAGCAACGGCATGCTGCAAGGGAAATATTCTTTCAAGAAAGTCAGTGCACCAAATTCTACTGAGATGATTTGCTGTCACATATATTCCTCTTAAGTAATCCCCTTATGATTCTCACCAAAACATTCATTCTAAGTCTTTGTTTAAATGAAGAGCCTGGAGTGACACGGGGATTCTTCAGTGCCTATTTATATAAGTTATGGATAGTGTGTACTTGTGAATAATGTGTAATTAGTCCATAATATACACCACGAGAAGTTAGGTTCATTTTTGTGTAGAATCCACTGAGAGAATTGGAGGCAAAGATTATTGTCTTCTACTGTAGCCCTTGAGAAGGTGTACATGAAAATGATAGAACTCCTACTCAAGCAGTGTGTGCCAGATCGCACTCTGATCAAGGTCTCTTTCAAACATTGCCTGATGAGTGCAAGTCAGTAGACTAGAACATACAGCATTGAAAATTTTCTTCTTCATTCTGCACATTGTGTCTCTAGTGGCCAATGCACTGGTGGCACAAGTGAACCTCTTTCCCGCAGACTGTGATGTACCATTGCACACACTTCTGTTATGTTGCCTCAAATCTGAATAATGACACTGGTATTTCCTCAGAGCAGCTGTAGCATTTCCATGGCAGAAACCCCTCTTAAATTAATTTATTGCTCTCTACAAATCTGTAATGTTTTTGTTCTTACTGTTTGTTGCAAGCTCACCAGTTTTGTCTTTCAGATATTCCCCTATTTTTCCTAAAATGTCTGCTGGTTTCCTGTCTTATAATGTTCAGATTATCCCCATTTATTTTGCTTAGCCATTAATGAATATGATGGAAAACTATGAAAATTCTATATGTAAAACAGCTCATCTTGCCCCATCCTTAAGACTTTCATAAATGTCCACATCTTCATAGAAATACACTTAAACAAGAATTATTTCAAGTAAAAAATGTAATTGGCAGAGAATGGTCAAAATGAGGCTGCTGACAATATCTGTCCTGAACCTTGTGATATGCAGACATTACTGCTAAAGAGATCCTTTATCAAACTTTACAAAAGTGACCTAAATTTTTCTGGGGCTGTACTGACTTATTTTCAGATGTAGTATACTTGCCACATTTGTTATGCCAAAATATTAATACAAACCTTACTGTATTCAGACAATTCACTAGTGTTGATTAATAATACATTTCTTGTTTATTATGCTTATAATTACAGAATTCCTTTTTTCTTGTATTTAATACAACTTTAAGAGAAGGAAAAAGTATTGCCTGTGTTGTCATATACTGGTCAATTATGCATCCAAATTGTAAAATACTCACAGTATACATAAATGTCTATATCTGGGTCTAAAACTTTGTCTTGTTTCACAAATATAAACATGTTACATTAGTTTATAAATGTGTTCATACTTATAATAGCAAGGTTAAAGAGGGACTTTCAGAGCTGCACCTAGTTGCACAGAATTATTTAAAGTTGATGAGGATTCAGGTTAATAGCGCAACAAATTAGTTCAGTTAGTAGCCTGTTGGATTTCAAGTGAAATGCACAGAATTTTTCAGAGTTTCTCGAAGTGTACAGAGTTGCATGGAGTCTCTAGTTGTTAATAATTGCCAGTTCCAGTAAGTTAGGCTTTGGTGCAATATTTGTTGGCTTATATTTCTGTATCCTTGTTGGATTTGGTTCTGTCGTTTGTACTTGGGTCACTGGATCTTCCATGGGATCAGTTTCAGAAACCATCCTGGATTTGGTATTGGCATAATATTTGGGGTCACTTTCAGATTTGGCATCATCTCATGTTTTAGGTCAGATCAGGTTATGTTGGTGGCATATCTGACTGGACAGTCTGCTGTGCATTCACTTACATGTATGTGACAAGAATTATATTTTGACTAAATCATATGTATATCCCACTACAAATTCGGCTCATACATTGCATGTTTGGAATCAGACCTCTGTTGATTTAGTTTAAAGTGGATATTTTAGATTGGGTTATGTTACATTAGATTATGTTAAATTATGGAAGACTGAGGGAACTTGAATGTTGCTTAGGGTTTTAATAGGCACAGAGCTGCTAAGATGTAATGAAACACGTATACCACTTCTGTTAAAATTTACAGTTTCAAGTATTTAAAAAGAGCATCCACTAATCCTTATTATACTGACTAGAGTGACACATAAGGTCTGTGTCTCATACATTATTGTATGTGGATTTTTTATAGAGCTGTTAAACACTATGAGTTCTGTGTGTCTAGTACTAATAGCCCATATGACAATGTTAGAGGCTTACTGTGTTATTACAGACCTGCTTGACAAGATACATGCGGTCAGTGAGTCTCACTTCATAACTAGGGTATACCAGAGAAGTGTGTAGTATTGTTACTGAAGATAAGTATAGTGTAGCACACATAGTGTTTACTATTGAAACCTGTACTGTGAAGACATCTTGTAAGAAGTGTGTAGAATGTTTAGAACAATGTGTCCCAGAATTTCAATTTCTTTGGAAACAGTGTGTTGAATGGTGAACAGGTTATTTGCTACAGAAAGAGCAGAATCACGTTCAACATGTTCTTACACTAGGTAATATTGGTGGAGCTCATTTAGGAGCATCCCCATGGAAGTCTTTAAGGCGGTTATCTCAGCAAATCATTGTCAAAGAGTTACTTGTACACTGAGCCACAAAGTTTATCAGTTTTAAGCCATTAAAATTGAAAGTGGTGAAAAACCTACATGGGCATCATATTCCTCAACTCTGAAGCTGAGGTGGCATGTACCTGCAAAATACTGGCAACATTGCCTGCATCTACATGGTAACACAACCAAGGAAAAAAAATTACATTAAAAGTTAACGTTTGTGAAAACATAAAATCAGTCTGTTTTCACTTTTGTGTAATTTCATATTAAGGTGCTCATGTTCTTCAACATAATTAACATTTTTGTTAGCTCATATAACCTTCATTCTGAGAATTACAGTTTATCTAGGGATATTCTGGTGCTGGCTGATCTTATGCTCTAGTAACAAGTATCAGCTTTATCACAACTAAGCAGAACTCAATTAAAAGAACTACGTATAAAGGTAAAGGGAAAGTTATCGCTATGCTTAAGCAATTAAGCATTACACCATGAAGGCATATGGGGGAGTGGATGTATAGATCCAAGTTTTCTTGACCTTGGCCCTAGTTGTAGGTGAGTGGCCCGGCCACTTTACTCCCAGGGAGAGAGCTCCTGGTAACCATTTGATAGTAGGCTGGATGGGCCCCAGAACTGGTCTGGATGACATAGAGAAGAGAAAATTCTTTATCATACTGGGACTCGAGCTCTGACCCCTTGTTCATCCCGCACGTAGCCAGTTGCTATACTGACTGCTATCCCAGCTCCAGAATCACTTGCAAACTCCTCTTATTTAAGCTATTTTATTTAATATCTGTGGTTTATTATCACAAGCATGTTCTATCCGTTTTGCTTCCTTGGAGTTTGATCTTAAAGCATTGTCTACCTTGTTGTATGCATGTTACTGATCCAGTACATGTTTCATAAATTCTGACTTATCCATGTTGTGTATGAGATGTGGAATTTGTTCTTTACTTCACTATATATGTTTGCCTATTCACGCAAGAACCATAGAACAAATTCTCATGAACTGTTATATTGTGAGTTTTACTGCACTCCGTCAACACATTCCAATAATTGGCATTATGCATGGAGAGCTGTGTGTGGTGTCTGTGTGTATCTTGAGCTTAAACCACCCAACATATTTATTTACCGGAGTAAAAACACTTAGGGAAAAATTATACACATTTTAGCCCATACAACCTTTTCCCAAAAATCTTGATTTTTTTCTCTGTAGATAGTAGCAAAGGGGTTTATGTGCCTTGTCGTCTGATAACTCGAGAACATTGAACTGATACTCATCGAGTTCTGTGCTGGATATCCTTGCTTTTCCATCTCACCTGTTTTCTGCTGTTTATAAGTGAGTATAAAGAAGTGGAATTCATGAATTGAAATCTCGAAACAACAAGAACTGTTACGCCGTTTCCTGTGTTGTGCCATCTTTATATTTTCTACATAACCTAGCTCTACATGTTTTGTCTATTTCTGTTACTTGAATCGACATAGTTTTCGCTAGTCTCTTGTAATGTTAGCATTTGAGGTGGAATTGAACCTGTACCCGTTGGCCCATCCCTCCTCTTGCCGTGCCAGTATTTCCGGCCACTAAGGCCGGATGTG